TCCATCTACTATCAATACGTACTTTAATAACTCCGATATCGAATGCGGTTAAAAGAGGAGTATGGTGTTTAAGAACACCAATCTGTCCACTATTAATTTTTCGATAGTATGGATAAAATAATTTGTTCAGTTTGGGAGCTCCAAACAATTCGATTAGGGGAAAATGAATTGAACAATTCAATATTTTATTTGACGACTAATTCAATTCATCAAATAAATATTTGATTTTTTTCCATTAAATAAAAATAAATTAACAATAAAATTGAATAAATCAAATAAAACTAAGATTATTTTTTTTGTTGTTGATTCCATTAACGTGAAAGTAATTAACACCGACTTACACTACTTATATTAAAAAAAAGAATCACCAGATTCACCACTATAATTCTTTACTATAAGATTCAATGTCAATTTTTTCCTGAATTTCCCTATTCGAATAGAGAAATTCAGGAAAATTGACATTGAAGTTGAATCTCACGTTCAAGTGATGGGTTTCTCTCTCTCTCTCTCTCTCTCTCTCTCTCTCTCTCTCTCTCTCTCTCTCTCTCTCTCTCTCTCTCTCTTTCTCCTCCCTCTCCCTCCTCCCGTGTGCCCCTGTCTCTCCCTTCCCCCCCCCCCCCCCCCCCCCCCCCCCGCCCCCCCCCCCCCCCCGCCGGGCGGGTTGGTGGTTTTGTTTGTGGTGGTGTGTTTGGGGGGGGGGGGGGGGGGGGGGGGGGGGGGGGGGGGGGGGGGGGGGGGGGGGGGGGGGGGGGGAGAGAAACGCTCCTGGGAGGTGTGTCCATTGTCATGTTCACCATACACAACAGCACAAAGCAAAAGAAAGCTTGGATGCGTGTGAGAGAAAGGGGGGGAGCAAAGGGGGTTCCGGAAGGGAGGGGGAGGAAAGGGGGGGGGGGGCGAGAGGGGAAAGAACGGGACAAGGGGTCAGGAGGCTGGAGCCCACATGTTCTATACACACCTCAGGTCCTCTCGGTACCACCTTCCCCCTAACAGAACGTACGGTCATTATAGCTGTACCTGGACTGAAAGGTGGCACAAGTTCAAAACTATTATGACCACACGCTCTCTATTCGGGGCCAGATGGTAATTGCAACTGCACCTCATTAGAGTCACTAGTACCTGCGACAAGTTTGAAGTGATTTTTTTTTTTTTTTTTTTTTTGAGTTTGAAGTGATTTTCAAGCACCAGCATTTTATAATCTGGTGGTGAATCATTGGTGATGGAAAAGGGGATTTGTCGGAATGAGCGAGAATCTATCAAAAAAACAAAAAAAAAAAAAAAAAAAAAAAAAAAAAAAAAAAGAGGAGGTGGAGCCCCATGGTGGAAATGGGTTCGAGATATAGATGTAGACTGGCGAGAGAGAGGTTGAAGTCGTTGACCTCTCATCCATCACTGCCAGCCTTTTGAAAACTTTTGAAAATCATCCGGCTTGGGGTTTGGACATCCTCCCAGCAGCGCCCGCTTCAGGGGATCATACCTAAGTTATTAAGTTGAGGCATCAACATAAACCAAGTTGTTCTTTGTGGTGGCCTCGACTTCGGATCCACACCAACTCCTCAACTCGACAGTTATCCTAAACTACCTTCGCCCGAATAGAACTTTAGGGTCATTATAGTTGAATTGGGGGCAACTTCAAGTCTAAATACGGCTTGTATTTGGGGCAACTTTCAGTCTAGATGCAGCGATAATGGCTGGGTTTTCTATTGGGAAGAGGCCGGTAGTAGAAATTACTCCTGGTACTTATACTACTACTTGTTACTACCTTCTTCCCCGATTTTCAAAATAACACACGGTTATTATCACGTCATTATATCTGCATCTGGCCTGAAACATGCACTAAATAACAACAGCTGACAATCGCCCTAATAGTATTGACTTACGACTACTACTGCTACTACCGCTGCTACTGCTATTACTACTGCTACTTCTGCTGCTGCTGCTGCTGCTGCATCTACTGCTGCTGCTGCTGCTGCTGCATCTACTACTACTACTGCTACTTCTGCTGCTGCATCTCCTGCTGCTACTGCTGCTACTGCTGCTACTGCTACTGCTACTACTACTACCTTGCTCCACCTAGTCATTGCGTTTCCATCTGGCGCGAACACTTACACTCACTACATGATGACTAGGTGTTGTCTGCTTATGTCTTCCGCCGAACATAATGCACACTCACCATTAGGATGAAGGTATCCGAGTAGAACTATCATACATTCATGACGAAGGCTCATTGTGCCAGGGGGATGACAGCAGTAATACTACTGCTAATAGTACGCGATTTACTCCTATTGCAACAGTAAGACGGCCTATTACGAAGGCGAGGAAGAAGAAGAAGAAGAAGAAGAAGAAGAAGAAGAAGAAGAAGAGGAAGATGATGTTGATGATGAAGAAGAAGACGAGGGGGGAGGAGGAGGAGGAGGAGGAGCAGAAGAAGAAGAAGAAGAAGAAGAAGAAGAAGAAGAAGAAGAAGAAGAAGAAGAAGAAGAAGAAGAAGAACAGGAAGAAGAAGAAGAAGAAGAAGAAGAAGAAGAAGAAGAAGAAAGAAGAAGAACGAAGAAGAAGAACGAAGAAGAAGAAGAAGAAGAAGGAAGAAGGAAGAAGAAGAAGAAAGAAGAAAGAAGAAAGAATGAGCCTTCGTCAACAAAGACGGGTATGCGTACTTCTGAGGAGATATCTAAAGGCAGGGGCGCAATGATGTGGACGTCCACCAAATCGTACACAGCAATAAACACTGGCAGTGTGGCACAAGAAATAAAAACTGTTGAAAACAGTATGGTCAAGACTCAAGCGTGAGTACTTGTTTTCCCATCAGACTGGGAAAAGGGCAGCAACGTTTCAAGTTTACAAATCTAATTAATTGTACAATGAGAAAAAAAAGCATGTCAAGCTGGCAACAGGCTAAAATCTCTCTCTCTCTCTCTCTCTCTCTCTCTCTCTCTCTCTCTCTCTCTCTCTCTCTCTCTCTCTCTC